TGCAAAGCAGTGCTGACTACTACGCGCGCAACTCCCAAACTAAAAGATCTTTTGATATCTAACAGCTCAAGTCATATTCATTGTATTATTCATCGTCTAGCAGGTCTTGTAACATAATCTGATGCAAGCAGTAGCAATTACCTTCGTGTTTACATATTGCACGTTTACGTATTATATGTACTCGTTACGTACCACAAGTTTACGCATTGCGTATATGTACATGTTTACGTACTCATGTATAAACAAAGCCCTTGGTGTGAATCGGCCCTACAACTGGATAACCTTTCCGCATACTAATAGTTTTATCTCTTACTTCAAAAAGCGAAAAGGCAACAGCGAAAGCAGATGAAGAAAAAAGAGCGAAAACTCAAGCAAAAGAAAAGAAAGGCTTCCAAGAGACAAAAGAAGAACAGTGAGCATTATATCATTCGTATGCATATACAAACGTAATATATATATCCCAATGGTGCCGGGGAAAATTAACAAAAAATGGGGAAAATATTGGGCCTACTTTCTATGTTTTTCGTGAAATGTCTGCCGATAGATGGCTCTGCTAGCGCCTGATTTAAATGGCGGGAAAAACGTATTTTTCACTAATGCTATGAAAATCGATGGTGTTATTTTTATCATAAACAATGTAATTTTTATAATTTTTTTGAACATTAGTAACAGCAAAATAAGATTACGTAAAATATTTTGTAAATCAAAGAAACGGGTAAACGGGCGAGACGGGCGGTGCTCGTAACTGGCTCATTGGGGAGTTAGTACAAGTGTTGCCATCTATGCGTAAAACAATCAAACAAGTACTCACTGTGGGCATAGCACGTACGTACACGTCATACCCGGCACCAAGGGGATATATATATATATATGTATGAATACGTATGTGTATAAATACAAATATATACGAGTGTGCGTGTGTTTGTCTGTGTGCATATATATTATGTACACTACATAAATACATGTACCATATAAGAAAAGAAAATACTTCTCTCTCCATATATATGTGTCCATTTATATATCTATATACATTTACATACATATATGTATATATACATATTTATGCTCATATAATCATTTATATTCATATATATATGTACATATATATTTATATGAACTTATGACTTTATAATGATTTCTATCCTAACCACAGATAAGGGGTTGAAAGCACAGAAGGAAAACAAGAGAGAGAAGAAAGTCAAAGGGAAAGGCAAAACATTTGCTAAAGGAGAAGGCAAAAGGAGAAAGAGTAAGTTTGAACTTTTTCACATTCTAACATTTGTTTGTAACTCATAAGGCTGCGTGCGTGTGTGTACAGTGTACTTATAAACATTATACATACCAGACATTTTCAACTGCTGGCCTGTGGACCATATGCATATTGGGTACAAAAACAGCCTACAGTGACTTTGTCATTTTGACATAGAAATAGTACGGCACTGATAACAAACATTCATTGATAATTTGAGTGATGAAAATAGCATTTCAGTAATTAATTGGCAAACTAGTATGTCATGCAACCGGAAGCAGAAGACAATGGCATTGCAACTGATGGGAGACGTATGTTGAGCAGAAATTATAGATATTTTCAATAAAATTAAATAGGCACGGTCTTCGTACAATATATATATAGAATATATATATATATATACTCACAATATATATGATATACATATGTACATATAGATCAATATATATGTATGTATATGTATGTTTTACTCTCTCGGTGGAAATTGATTAAGCAACTCGAAACCGAAGTCAGATGTACTGAGGTGTATATATGAAAAATGAAATAGTGCAATGCCGCACTGATATAGATATATAACAACCCTCCCTGACCTGGACTCGAACCCTTGCCACTCCAGGTAAGACCAGAGTGACCAGTACCAACCATACCAAACGACCCACTAAAAGGAGTGTGCAACTACGATCTAACTAGCTTCTTAGACATTGACTAGTTGAACATACAACACTGCATTATTTATTTCATACATACATATGTGTGTGCATACATTTATATATATATATATATATATATATATATATATATATATATATATTCGATGTGTGTGTATATGTAAAATATATATATATATATTATATGATATATTTAAGAGTGCCCAATGTAAAACTGTATTTAAGCTCATTCCATTATTCTACCACAAATAAACCCCTCAAGAAAGAAAAAGATGGGAAATCACCG